CCGATATGCTTCCCAGTGACATTCCAGAAAGTACTGACACCACAAGACAGTAGTTCTGGGACGGCATTACAGCCCAGGAAAGGCTGCCTGGCTGGTGCTGTAACATCATTCCCAGAATTAACCTCTCTAGTGGTGGGAGCTCCAGAACACATCACTGCAGCTCAAAAGGTCCTGAGGTTTCCCGACATCTATGGGTAGGTATAGACGGAAATACCGTATCACTCAAAGAACTTCTAAAAGTAGGAAGCATGTAAGGTTATTCAAGTGCTCTGAGGTTAACTGTAACCATTCTCACGTTTTCTGACCTTAAAATTATCACATGCATCAGTGAGGTTTGTAACCACCAGTCTACTAAAAAAAATATTACAAATAACCATGGTTAATAAAGCCACATTGTGATGTTATTCTGAGTAAGACTATGAAAATGTAGAGTTAATGATAGAATTACCTTGCTGAAGTCAACAGTACTATTTTCTCTGCTTCCTCCAGCTCCATTACCTTTAATTTCTCCACTTTTACTAGTGTCCAAGTTTCCAGGTGCAGACTGGGGAGAGGCCAAAATACCTGTATTTAAGAACAAATAAATCCTCAGTTAGAAAGGGGAAAGTGCACTTTGTCACTTGACTCTGCCCATATCCTGAAGGTGATCGTTTAAAAGCAAATGTGCAAGATAAAAAAAGTGCCAGGTGTTAGTATCATACCAGCAAAACTATAGTAACATTTTAAGTAATAATAAAGCCATAAATTTTAATATTTAAAATAATACAACTGGAATTTACAAAAATGGTGGCCTCTTGCAAAAAGAAAAAAAGTGAGTAGGTGAGAAACCACAGAAGGTGGAAGACCTAAGCCTCACTGCCACTACTAATCCTGTGGGAATACAGACTTCCAGCCCCTCGAACACCCACGTGAACTGCATAGAGCATGATGATGCCTAAATACACTAGCATACTTACACCAAAACCGACATAAATCCTCTGACAAACCCTACGGGTGACTCAGAAAATTTAACAGTGACACCAACTATACATAGATTGTCTATGAATTTATCATCATCTTCTACATTCATAATAGTTTCCTCAAGAATTTTTCGTTTTCCTTGGGTATTAACCATGCTCTCTACCGTCATTATTCCTAGGAAATACAACTTTAAAATATAACAGTAAATGTTTTTACAATATAAGTGCAGAGTATGGGTTTTATAATCAAATAGGTCTGTGCTGAAATACCCACTCTCTGCCACTGTGTAGTTATGTGACCTTAATTAACTGACTCAACCTCTGAGATTCAGACAAAGCTGTAAAATAAACTTGCTTGGATTAGAAATGATAGATATAAATGTTCAAGTATTAGGATACTCATCACTATAATCGAGTGATCCACATAAATTCACTTAAACTCTGTGACTAGACCCTCTATACCTGTCAAGTTTCAAAATTTTAAGTATATCAGATAACACATTATCCACCTAAGGGAGAGGTTTTGTTTGTTTGTTTTTAGCATAGAATATACTCTAACTAATGAAAACTGAAAAAAGTCAATTGAGTTTAGAGTAAAACTTCAGTAATGGAAGACTCTGATATCTGCTTCTCTGCTAAAACATTTCAACCAGGCTGTCACTGTGACCCAAAACTCTCAGTATAAAAAGCATCTGAAATCTGCTCAGCAAGGTGCTTGTTCTCTGGAAAAATGAAACAATTCTGAAATAAAAGACTGTTTCCTAAAACTTAACTCACAGGTAATAGCTGTACAATTTTACCTTAGCACAGACAAGTTATTAAGATCTTTCTTCTTTGATCTTGGTCCCTAAAATTCCAGAAATGAGTCTCTTCCTTTATTAAGATACCTGCCCGGGGGTGGGGTGGGGGGGAGTGAGCTAGTATTTTTTAGTGGCTTATACCTCTCCTACCCAACATATACTGAGCACCAAACATGTACTTCTAACTACTGAACACCTCCAACCTGCAGATGTATAGTCAAAAGAATACACAACGTACAGTTTCCCAGAAAAGCCCCAACCACCTGAATGTAGGAAAAGCAGAATGAGGAGAAAGCTGTGGGGGAAAGTGAGGCTACAGTAGGAATGAGAAGAAGAATCCCAAGGAACCCAAAACTGATACACGGAGGGGATACCACCTAAAGTCACTGAGCTAACCCGATCATCCTGAACTTGTCCCATTCCCAAAACTGGCACAGCAGGTGCTCGTTAGAGTTTTCCATCATTATCCCTTTCTGTATAACCCTCCTCACCTTCAGCTGAGTTCAACCTTTTTCTCTATCAATAAAGCAAGTCTGTCTGCTCCTAGAATAAATTCCTAGGACTCAGGAATTAAATGAGTAAATTACTAATTAAATGAATAAATCACAGAAAAAAAAAAGCTATCATTACCACAGATGACACAAAAGGATTAAATTTCTGTACTTTAAGAAAACATACATGAAAGAAAAATAATCTATTTAAGACCAAACAGTCAACATTTACCCTCAAGCAAAGAAAAGAAGGGCGAGGGGGTGGACACTGGGAAACAAGAAAAATGGAAACGGAACCACCGGAAGGGAAATAACAAGAATGGTGACACAATGTGGAAAATGTAATCCATGTTACTGAACAATAATATGTATAGAAATTGTTAAATGGGAGCCTAATTTGCTGTGTAAACTTTCACCAAAAACTCAATGAAATATTTTTAAAAAGAAAAACCTATGTGAGTACATGTGTATGTATAAAATCAGTAATGGGACTTAAAAATCATACTCTGATAAACCTACTATTTTGAATTTACTTTTTTTTTTTCCTCAAGTAAAACAGCAGATCTATATAGGGGTCGCTATGAGTCAGAATCGACTTGACAGCAACAGTTTGGTTTTTGTTTTTGTTTTAACTAAAGATAAATCAAAGAGATTGTCTTAGTCATCTAGTGTTGCTCTAACAGAAATACCACAAGTGAATGGCTTTAACTAAGAGAAATTTATCTTCTCACAGTCTAGTAGCCTTGAAGTCCAAATTCAGGGTGTCAGCTCCAAGGGAAGGCTTTCTCTTGACTCTGGGGTAAGGTCCTTGTTATCAGTCTTCCCTTGTTTTGGGAGTATCTCAGCACAGGAACTTCAGGTCCAAAGGACGCACTCTGCTCCTGGCACTGTTTTCTTGGTGATATGAGGTCCCCATGTCTCTCTGCTTGCTTTTTCTCTTTTACATCTCAAAAGAGACTAGCTTAAGACACTATCTAATCTTGTAGATCTCATCAATATAATTGCCACTAATCCATCTTACTACATCACAGTGATAGGATTTACAACACATACGGAAATCACATCAGATAACAAAATGGTAGACAATCACACGATAGTGGGAATCATGACCTAACCAAGTTGACAGACATTTTTGCGGGACACAATTCAATCGATGACATTCCACCCTTTGGCCCCCCAAAGTTTATGTCCTTGCCACATGTAAAGCATATTCAGCCCATCATATCATAGCAAAAGTCTTAAATCAACTCCCAGTTCAAAATCCAAATACTCTTCCTCATCTGTGAAATCTAGAATGCAAGTTATCTGCTTCCACAGGTACAATGGCAGAACGGGCACAAGCTAGACATTTCCATTAAAAATGGGAGAAATTGGAGGGAAAGAAGGCATAACAGGCAACAAGCAAGTTGGCAGAACACATTACATTAGCCCTCCAAGCTTTGAAAATAATCCTCTGTTCTCTGAGACCATTTACACAATGGCTCTGTCCTCTAGACTCTAGGTATTGGCCACACTCTCCAGATTCTGAGTAGAGGCCCCTTGGCCCTGGGCTTCAGCTCCGCCTTCCAGGTCCACTAGGACAGCAACTCTGCTCCCTCGGCTTTAGGCGCGCTGTCTCCTAGTCCATCTGAGTGGCAACGCCACCCTTAGAAACACCAGAGGCCATGGCTCCACCCTCTGAAACCTCAGAGGTCCTGGCCATACCTTTTGAGACTGAGGTAGTAGCTCAGCATCCTGTGTTCCTTGTCTCTTTAGGTTCTGCTTACTGGTTCCCTGGCCTCTCGGCCCTTGGGCCTCACACTCACACCTGCCCTGCTGGGACAAGTGTTCCAACGCTCAGTAGCTCCACCAATAAGTGCCTGGAGGCACCTCACTCTGCTAGTAAACTTCGGCCAGAAGGCACTGAGCTCTCTCACCCTGTGGGTCAGCTCCAGCGCTATCTGGCATTGGTCTCCTGGTTCTGCTACTGTCAGGCCTCTGCTGCTGCTGGTCCTCTGCTGCCAGTCCCTGTCCTCTATCTATTCACAGTTTTAAAACCACGTCCACATTTTAGGTATCTGTTAGAGCAGCACCCCACTCTCTCGGTACCAAATTCTGTCTTGGTCATCTAGCGCTGCTATAACAGAAATACCACAAGTGGATAGCTTCAACAAAAAGAAATTTATTCTCTCAGAGTCTAGCAGGTTACAAATCCAAATTCTATGCATCAGCTCTAGGAGAAGGCTTTCTCTGTTGGCTCTGGAGGAAGGTCCTTGTCATCAGTCTTCCCTTGTTCTGGGAGCATCTCAGTGCAGGAACCTCAGGTCCAAAGGATGCACTCTGCTCCCAGCACTGCTTTCTTGGTCATATGAGGTCCCTATGTCTCTCTGCTCGCTTCTCTTTTACATCTCAAAAGAGATTGCCTTAAGACACTATCTAATCTTGTAGATCTCATCAATTATAACTGCTGCCAATCTGTATTATTACATTATAGTGTGAGGATTTACAAAACAGGGAAATCACATCAGATGACAAAATGGTAGACAATCATGTAATACTGGGAATCATGACCTAGCCAAGTTGACAGATATTTTTGGGGGACACAATTCAATCCAAGACAGAAATCAAAGTTTTCTGTCATTATAAGTTTGACATTAGAAGTAGTTAGAGCAGTTTTTCTCAAGGCGGGTAATCTTGTCCCCAGGGGACATTCGGCAATGTCTGCAAAACTTTTTGGTTATCACAACTGGAGGTGCCACTAGCCAATAGTGGGTAGAGACCAGGGGTGCTGCTAAACATCCTACAATGTATAGGGCAGCCTTCCACAACAAAAAATCATCTGGCCCAAAATGTCAATAGTGCTGAGACTGAGAAACATTGAGTTAGAAGAAAAACTAGTTACAAATACTAAAAACAAATTCACTTTTTTACATATAATTATCCTCCAAAGAATAACTAATGGGAAATGCTACTTTCTCTTTTTTTTTAATGGGTGTGCACAAATCGTGACCCCATGACACAAAAAAATCTATGACATTATTCTCTCCAAAATGATGCTGGGGCCATCTTCCTCCTGTAATATAACATCAGACGTCAAGGAAACTCAACTGAAGTTTCTAGGTGCCACAAGCACCAAAGATAATTAAAAAGAAAATAATACATAGTTGCCCCAATTATTCTTATTTAGTAATTACACATCTTCTCTAGACGTCTTCTCAAACAATAATAAAGGCTTCTTGTCTTTAGAAGGGCTGATAAATCTCATGGCATACTTCTATAGAGGAAAAAACAATCTTATGTTCCTCAATTCTCAGTTAATCGCTCCTTTTATCCCGTTAACGACATGGCCAACAAGCCAATGTGAATAGGCCTAATCCTTCCTATATAAAATTTACAGTTTCTTCTTACTAATAGCAGAGATATAACAACAAATGTTCAGTGTTGCTGATCAACATGATACAGGTAAAAACAAATACAGGAAGTAACTTTAGTCATTTTTGTTCAATGAAAAATGGTGAATTTTGCTGTCTTTTTAATTAAAATAAGAGTGCTGATTATTTCTAAGTATTTTTTGCTCCTTTTGTTCAGTGACCCCCATTATTATATATTTTTTGTGTTTGGGAACTAGTAAGATTCACAGTGAAGTACTACGGAGTTTATTGTAGGTAGGCCTGAGTTCAAATCCCTGCTGGTCATTTACAGTGGGATTTAACATCTCCACTAGGCCTTAGTTTTCTTTATGTGTAAAACAGGGACAACACCAACTTCACTGCATTGTTTTAACAATCAGAAATACGATATATGCAAAGCACATACCGCTGAGTCTGGAACAAAGTATAAAACAATGGTAACTGTAACTACGATCATAATTAATGTTACAATGTTTTAGCCCCAAGACCGCCATTTATACTTCTAAAAGCATATCCCTTTTTGGCAACTTCAATGTGCTTTGATTAAATAAACATATTTGATGTGTTGGGCTACAGCCAACAGAGAGAGATGGAGAGAAAGGTCTGCCATGTGGGGGTAGGAACACAAGGGGCTGCAGTCAGAGGATTCCAGCTGTCAGCTGCTAATTACAGAATGCATGGAAAGTTATTTAACTTTTCTGAGTTTCTGCAAATGGGTGTATTCATCTAACTTACACAAATTTTTATAAATATTAAATATGCTACTTTAACAACTGTAAGCTACCACTAAAGTATTAGATATTATCGTTATTATGGAAAAATGTGGTAAAACCACTAGTCAGCATTAATATATGTTACACATTGATGGTTAACTAAAATATGAGTAAAAAATTGTCAGTAAAACAGCTTTTTTTTCCTAGATGGGAAGGTACAGAAGTGTAAATATACATATACTTAACATTTTTTAAAAGTATCATAATTTACAGTCCTTAAATAAAATGAGTTGTCTTTTATTCACTAAGAAGTAATTCTTCTAATTGACACACACAAATATCAAAAATACATCCTAGTCACAACTACAGGAACTCTGTTCCTGAAAAGCTGAAGGTAAATTTGGATTAAAGATAGATATGGCATTAAAAGTCTATCCCAAAATATAATACTAATCTTGAAATAATGATTCCAGGCAATCATACGAGAACCTTCATCTTCTAGGAAGCAAAATGAGGAAAAAAAGAACATTCAAACCTATCTTTGCTAGGCAAACTAAAACATACTTCACTCTTTGCCGAAAAGTGCCAAACAGATAAAAGGTGTATCACTTCATTATAATTTATGTACATTATGTGTTTATTCACCTTATGAATGAACTACACAAGAATAAAAGCCACCATTTTAAAAATCATGGCAAATTAAACATTAATAATAAAAATTTCTACATACTTCTGAACCATTCAAATGCCTTGCCTCTAAAATCTCAGTAAATGTTGACAGGACTTATGTTATAAGTAGTCTTTTTATAATTTAGATTGTTTCAATAATTCTTTCCTATAACACACTATAGAGAAAAAATCATGCAGAAGTCAACATAAATTGTAAGCATGATCTAAATATGCTGCTCAAGCTATGTGCTGAAAGGCATTCCAAGTGCAAGTGATTCAGAGGCAGAAAGCACCACACATGTAGGGTTTAAGATAGTTGCCTGGAAATATGTCAAAATTTTCCTCATTCTTCTGCTCCTGGCCTTTCAGCGCTTCTAAGTCTTCCTCGGGCGGATGAATTACTACTGTAGGAATAGCATCACTGGCAGGCGAAACCAGCAGTTCTGGGGCCTGAAGCTGGCTCTGCTGGGAGCTTCTGGAGGTCAGGCGGCTGATGCTAGGGCTGGAAGGAGGACTGTTTGGAGGGGTAGGTACTGGGGTGGTAGACCTCGAGCCTGCAGGGGTTCCAGCTCTTGAAGCAGGAAGAAGGTGACTGAGAAGAAGAGATAAAGGCGATTCTCCTCTCAACGAAAGGTTTGAGGCAGACAGACCTGTTCGCAAAGAGTGGCGGGAGGCTGAAAGGCCTTCCCCTGAGATAAAACAAATAAATGGAAACTGATGAAGTTCACTGCAGAAGGCAAAGAGAGACACAAAAGATCATTTACACTGTAAACTGCATGCTTTAAGGGCCAAAAATTCCAAATTCATGCTGTGAAGGTTAGCATGACAAGTCTTTAAACATTAGAAAGTCACAAAAGTTGATTAAACTGTAATTAGTTCCCTGAAGGTGTATCCAAAAAGAAAAAAAACCGTTAATGATAGATGGGGGGGGGGAGGGGTATGACACAATATTCTGTTAGAAATTAGGATGACTAACACTGTTGCTTTTTGAAAAGGATAGTATCAATGCAAAGTTGCTGCTTAAATAAATGATAAGCAGCAAATGAGAATATAACAAAATAATCTAATAAACAGAACCCAAACCAAAACTTACCAGCACTGATAGCTGATATTCAGCATATTTTTCCTACATTGTACCAAACAGCTGTAAATAATTATCTCTCACAAGAAAAGTCCATATTAACATTACCTAGTAGTTTCTAACTTAAAAACTGTAGTCAAATATTTACAATGTTAAGTCCATAGGGCACCACCTATTAGTGATGTTCAAGTTAAAAAAACATAGGACAAGTTATAAAATTTTTTTCCAAAAGGAAACAATGTCAATTTCAAAGAACGTAAATCCTTGAGATCTCTAAATGTATTTATTAATAAGTGACCTAAAGCATGCTACTCATTTCTAACACCACAAATAAATTTAACCATAGACATCCACAATATTTAATTTAACTAGATAAGAATAAAGTATCTCTCACCAACAACTGCTACAAGGAAGCCTAGAGTATTTCAAAAGCTCACGTAGTACAGTTATACTTCAAACACCTGGTGTTTGTATTAAGGGTAGATCAACTGAACAGCATTTGGTTATTTCTGAAAAAACACAAGAAACCACAACAACAATCCAACGTGCTCTAAGTAATCAAAGCTCCAGAGAGTCCAGAAATACTAAAAATAAAGAGTAACCTGTCAGCCATAAGTAACTACCATTTGGTTAAAAAAAAAATAAGCTACGTGCAGAACGACAGTTAATTATAACTTTTGTTGTTGTGTGCTAGTGAGTTGATTTCAACTCATAGCAACCCTATAGGACAGAGCAGAACTGCCCCATAGGGTTTCCTGGCTGTAATCTTTACGGGAACAGATCACCAGGTCTTCTCTCCCGCAGAACAGCTGGTGGGTTCGAACCACCCCCCTTTCGGTTAGCAGCAGAGTGCTTAACCATTGTACAACCAGGGCTCCTTAAATTATAACTATAATATACTTAACAACAAAATAACAGAATGCCTATGTTAAAACAGCATTTAAATGAAAAAAGCCATTGCCCTAAGGCTAAAAGGAACTAAATTTAAATTGGGGAATAAACACTGTACATGAGGAATAAAGACTTAATAGGGTCCTTCTGGGTTAATGAATTCATTTTACTGAAGTAGAGAATATACAATAAATGACAGATGAAAAAGAGAAGTAAAATGTGGCATATATGGCTTGTGCTTAAATTGAACTTAGATCCATAAGGGAAGTTAAATATACCGACGCATAATTTTAAACAGATTTTTTAAAAAGAGTTTTATAATGGTCAAATTCTCAGAAGCAAATGGACATAGGTATCTTACACTGAGTTGTAAAAGCTGACTATGAACTGTATACAATAACTGATATGTCTCCACCATCTTCAGACACATTAAGCTCTATCACCTATGGCTTGTTAACCTGCAGAACACTTAAAAGCCATACCAGTCTTTCCGGAACAGAAAAGGTAGGCGAAAAGGTTTTGTGGCCCATACTCTAGTCCTCTTCACTGTAATCCTCATAAGGATTAGGCAATGGCAGAGCAATAATGACTCATAAGCGACTCTAAGCCCCTGCACCTGGGTTTTCCAGGTTCACTGTCATCACAGCTGAGAGCCAAAATCAAACCTTCAGTGATGTCTTCCTCTGCTTGAGAAAGAGGAAAATAAATAAAAGCAAGACCTCTAAGTGTGCCAACCCTAAGGCAGTGAAAGAGGTTAAGTGGCTACAAAAACACTCTCTCTCCACGCCCCACTTACCGCACTGCTAACCTCTGAATGAGAGTGGAAAGCTAGAATATGTGGACCTGGGTCTCAGCGATTCTCAGTCAGCAACTGGAAGATCACCTAGATCATTAGATCACTAGATCACCTCTAGTGTAAGAACAGAAATAATCATAAAAACCATTCACAAAACCCTGCCTAAATTCTCTATGCATGAATAACCAAAAAAAAATTTTCTATGGATGAATAAAGGACATCAAATCAACCTAAAAACTTGCTTATGTCCAACAAATAAAATATATTCAGGAGGCAAATAAATCAACTGAGAAAAATCTCATTTATATATAAAGTTTGAATCCCAACACTGAAAATTTAAAAAAAAGATTAAGCTGAAATATAGATCATAATTTATGTCTACTGAATCAACTATACTCAAGAAATCTTGAATAGAAACAAAAAAGAAGGAATGAGATGTAATTCAGGGTTAGGTATATAGTGACAGAACTTAAATATTACCAATATTTAAATAAAAATTAATTTGTGTCATTTTAGCAGAGTGAATGCTTAATTTTTTCATCTAAATAATTTTCACAGATAAATATGTTATGTTACAAAGAAAGACATTTGAGAAATGGTATTTTAAAGGCACAAATAACATTATAAAAAACAAAATAAGATTATAAAATGACCTAACGTGTTTTTACACAAATAGCACGCACCTTCTACATCTGTCTGCCAACTGCGCCCTCCCCCCATGAGGTATTTCCATAAGCGCTGCTATGCCAATCTTTTTCAACATGCTGTTGTAAAAAAAAAAAAAGAAACCTAGCACACTTATGAAAATACCTCACAGGTGTTTTGGCAAACAAATGTAGAAGGCATGCATCACTTGCGTAAAAATAGGTACGTAGTTATCTGGAAATAATATCTTTCCTTCCCCAAATGTTCACTGCAACCGCCCAGAAATGCTGTTAGAATAGAAGTATTAGCAAAAAATGGATGCCACAATTTATCTCACCATTCTTTTCAAGTAAGTGAGGGTCAGAATGTTTCTTGCCTATATCTGCAAACGATCGAACAAGGGGAATCCGATTGGTGAACCTTTTTTCATTCTGATGATGATGCCTCTTCAGAAGAGCTTCTCTGACATTCTCTCTTATGGACTCATCTAACTGGCCAGAGGCTATCATGTTGTCCAAGACCATATCTACTCAAAGAAAAAAAAGTAACAGTTACTGTTATTATAGAAACTAACACTCAAATGACTATAATACAAGACAAACATAAATGAAACTTTATAACAAAAGATAGATCCCTAAGTAGCTCTAGAAAGAAAGCATTAAATTTCCCCCAAAACTGTCTTAGTAGATGATTATCTAGTTTCATTCATTCAATCACTAACTCTTTACTAAGCATTCTCTACATGTTGAGAATACAGCAGTTAACAAGGCAGATCAAGCTGCTTCTCTCATTCTTCCAGAGGTAGAAAAACCAAGCAACAAATAGATACAATATCATGTGGTAATAAATTCTAGGAAGATGAACAAATCAGGTGTGAGGGGGGCATGGGAGGCGGGGAGATTGATGACAACACCATTTTCTACATTACTGTGATGACTGGATTATTTTTAATTTATAAAATATGTAGAAATATTTTAAAACATTGGCATTAACTTGAGATAAAAAGCAAGCGTTCAAAACTATGATAAGATGTCACTGAACTGTGCATGTAGAAATTTTTGAAATGGTGTTATCTTTGGCTATGTGTATCTTCACCAAAAAAAAAAAAGGTTGAGAAGTTAGAGGGTTGATATGTTGTGGGGTTGTTAACCAATGTCATAAAACAACATGTGTACTACTATTTCATGAGAAACTATTTGTTCTGTAAGCCTTCACCTGAAGTACAATTAAAAAAAAAAAAACTATGATAAGATCACTCTGAAAGAAAACTGGAGAGACAAACCTAGCAGGCAAGCTAATGTTAACAGAATGACTACAGGCTCCATTCGAGCGAGTGCTGGATTACACACCGTTCATGAAAAGTACTGCATTATGTGGTAACTGCAGAGCTAAAGAACCAGGTGTCCACATTCAATGCTCCTAACCCTAACTCAATTTTTCAGTGATTCATGTAAGACAAGAAAATAAGGTCTCTGACAACATAAAGGTCTGCAGCAAGCGGTCTACTCAAACAATCTGGTAATATTGAAGTATTTCCAGCCTAGAAATTCTAATAAATATATCATTTTCCTGAAGAGCAAACACTACAGACTTCTTTCTTCTTCCCTGGGTGCAATCTGTAATGGCAGTCACACTATCGACTTCATTACCACGGAAATTAATATCGTTTATCTGTCTATTTCCACTTTCTACCTCCACACCCAGTTGTCATCGAGTCAATTCCGACTCCTGGCGACCTCGTGTACTTCAGTGTAGAACTGTGCTTTCTAGGGTTTTCAACGGCTGATTTTTCAGTAGTAGATCACCAGGCCTTTCTTCCAAGGCACCTCCTGGTGGATTCAAACAGTCAACTTTTCAATTAGCAGCCACCCAGGGACTTTCTATCTCCACCAAACCAAACTCATTGCTGTCGAGTTAATTCCAACTCATTGCAACCCTACAGGACAGAGGAGAACTGCCCCATAGGGTTTTCAAGGCTGTCAATCTTTACGGAAGCAGATTGCCACATCTTTCTCCTGAGAAGAGGCTGGTGAGTTCGAACCTCCGACCTTTCAGTTAGCAGCTGAGTGATTAACCACTGCGCCACCAGGGCTCCTTCTTTCACAGTACCCTTCAAATCTCTCTCTCCGTCTCTTCCATTGCTACCACCTAGCACGGCTCAGGTTGTCATTGTTTCTTGCTTAGACTATTCCATGAAAATAACTGGCCTACTTGCTTCTAACCTCTTTTTCATCCAAAGCCACCCTGTATATTGCTGCCAGATTGACTTTCCAAAAGCACACCTCAGATCATACACTATTGTCCAGCTTAAAAACTATCAAAAGAACCAAAACACCTACCAAATAAAATTCAATTTCTTAAGCCAGTAACTCAAGGGTGGTGGTGTTACGTGCCGTCAAGTCAGTTCTGACTCATGGCGACCCTATAGGACAGAGCAGAACTGCCTCCACAGGGTTTCCACTATCTACTCTAACCTATGTTCCCAATATATTTCCTACTACTACTGTTCAAGTAACCAATACACTCATGCACTTTTCTTCCTGCTCTTCCTCTTCCTTAGAATACTTTCTTTTCTCTTACACCACCCAATCCTTGTTCTCATGGGTTCAAATTCTACGAATAAGTTGTACAATTACTGTCCTCCATGAATCCTCCCCAGATACCCTGGTTGAAAGCACAGAAACAAAACCCTCTTTCCAGAGTACTGGAAAATCCTTATCTTCCTTACAGCACTACTCACTTTCTTCTTGATATATAGCTGTCTAACTTAACCCTCTAGACTCCAAGCATATCAATGCCAAAAAGGATGCATTACTTATGTCTATTTCTCAAACTGCTCTGCACAAAATACAATTTCAACACGTAGTTATTAAAATGAATGCTCTAAAATTCTACTTTATTTTCCTTACTTAAATACTTCTTATTTCAGTAAACGAATATTGAAAAAGAAAAAAAGTAATTGGTTAAAACCTGCTATTTCATCTAGAGTGCTTGCTCTCATATCCAGCATGACTGTTCCATTTAGGATGCAACTCCTTAGTTCAAACAGACTGTGCAAAGACAGAGTTGCCACATAAGGTTTACTCCACCGGTCACCTCCATCTTCAACATCCTCTTCAAACTTCAGCCACCTGAAAAATGTATAATACATAAAAATATTTTATAGATAATATGCAATTTGTTTAATATGATAAACATAAACTTGTTCTTTTAAGGAGAAACAAGATGATCATCATCAAAACAAAATTTGGTTACAAAGACATTTTTACAAATTAGAGTAATGGTCTACAATATTTATAGTCGTAAGTTTCCTTGCAGTTCCTCTTTCTATTCTAGCTATCACAATAATAAGCCTAGAGAAGCAAACTACAGCACTTAACAGTTTCTACTTCTAATCATCTTTTAAATTTATAATATGCAAGACCTAGATTTTTCAAATTTGTTTCTTTAAAGACTTATTATTAACATCTATAATAATGTAATTCCTTTTTTGTCATATTAAAATATTAGGGATCATCTAAGGAAACAACTTTTGACAATAAAGAGAAAAATTAAAGAGGATTTCCAGAAGGTAACAAAGAAATTCCCTGCTCATTATTTTAAAGCACTGGCTACCTCA